CTATTTGGAGAATAAGATTGTTTCGACGATGGAACAGCAGAACACCAGGCTGTACAATTTGGTCGCGATTCCGCACTGTTTGAAGACAAACGGAATCCCAATTAAGGATCCCCGTCCTAGGCAGAGCAAAACGCTAAAGAATTCCACTGTCATTTTTTTCAGTGTTAGAGTCACCTGCCCCTGATTACCATTTCGACAATGTTGTTATTTTCCCTTGAATAGATTTCGTTTAAATAACGTTTCGACTACAGAGTTGTGTCCCTTGCGTTGAAAATCTCCAATCGCGAAAGTGTGGGCAAAAAAGTTGTCGTAACGATGTAAACAACGTCGTGGCAGTCATGGCCGACATGCAAGCCCGACGTAAAAACGGCTGTTTTAAATGTAAACAAAACGCATTAACTGACAATAATAACAACAACGATGTCCAATATCAACTGTTAGACCCCGACTATGCGACGAAACAAAGTGACACTCGTTCAAAGAGACGCTGACTACTGAGGCCCCACTACTGACAATTTGACTGATGTGCCGACACCGACGTCCGATGAAGATCCCTCCAGTACTAGTGATCACGAATACGCCAATAGCATTTTAACCTGATCGCAGGGTAGACGAGTGGTTGAACTCGCGGTGTTATCTGAATACCTAGACCAGAAAGGTTGTAAGGAATGCGGTACTAGGCTACGGTTGTGCAATACCCAACAGGAAAGACATTTTGGCCTGGGAAGTATTTTATACATACAAGTAAGTGTATCACACGACATCCCAATAGTCAGGATTATATTTCATATTTGTTATTATATGCCCAATAGGCTTATATTTCTAGTTTATTATTGTTATATTACATACAAGTGTTATTTTTACAATGTGATATTTTTATACCACACTATCGTATGTTGTTATTTGTACATACTGTTAAAGTTTATTATTGTTGTATAGTGTGATATTTGTTAACCTACAATATATATATAATATGCTGTTATCTGTATGTAATGACAAAGTTTATTATTGCTATATAGTGTGATATTTTTTATATCATAATATGGTATGTTGTTATCTGTACCTAATGTGAAGGTTTGTGTTGTTCATAATGTAAAAGTTTATTATTGTTGTATAGTGTGATTTTTTTTATCACAAGGTAGAATGTTATTTGTACAGTATGTACAAATTTATTATTGTGTGTAAAGTATGTTGAACTTTGTTATTGTTGTTCATTGTGACATTTTTGCTATGAAACAGTAAAGTACATTGTTTGTTATAATGTTATTCATATACAATGTGCAATTTGTTTTGTATTGGTTTTTAGATTTGAAGTAATTTTATTGGTTGGTAATGCCTACTGTATTATATTTGTATATAAAAAGTGCTATATTGTATGTTGTAAATTATATATTATTGGTACAAATGTAAGAGTTGTCTCTCTTTTTTTATTTTGTTTTAGTATCTTTATAAAAAAAATTGTAGAAAAAGTAAGTCCGCAAGATATCTTATTTTTGTCACCTATATTTTCTTTTCGGTGTCCTAAACGTGTTGCATTGCCACTCGGAATTGTATTTATTCATGTAATGGGCATTTTTGTTTGTTTTAGTATTATTGTTAGATAATAACTCATTTTTTGTGTGTTTTTTTCATCAATATTGACATTGTTATTATTTTGTATGTGTTATATTTCTAATAAACCATTGTTGCATCAAATAATATGTCTTTTGTTACATTTTGTCGAAACTTCATAATTTCCCAAAAATCTGAAGAAAATCCCGCAAGGTATGGGTTATCGTTCAGAAATGATTTGCTTATGCAACACCGATGCCGTAGAAAAACAAAACCAATGCCTAATTACATTTTTAGACGGAGGGACGGGGATCCTTAAAGGCAAAAATGGTCTCTTCCGTTTTTACGGCTTTCCAGAAATAAACACGCAAGTGTACACATGCGGGCGATGACTGCATGGACGTTCGGCAGTGATGTTAATATTATATATGTTTTTTTAACCACGTGATGAAATAAGACGCTAGGGTCTGCATTCACACGCAGACGATAGTTTAGAATCACGTGTATGTTGTATGTTTTAGTGGTTAAATTGGTCTTTGGGAGGAATAAGTAGATACATGATTGACTTACATGACTGAACAAGTTTAACCTTATTCACCTGTTTCTGGTGCGGTTTGCAACATCTACATTTCTAGTGTTGTCGGACCGGCCTGTCGTGTTAACATATGCTATATCTGCGCGGATATCAAAATTATTTCGGTGATTGTAAATGAAAGAAAAGCCATTACTTTTAATAAAAAAAAATCAGCATCATATAATCTCTTTTTGAAGTACGAAAGCACAAGGTTACTTTTTAGCGTATCAATTCAGAATTTAATATTAATTAAATACAGCACAATATAAATAATGAACAATAGTCGTACAAAACACTCATATACGTCCGGTTTATGATACTTACATTCGTTCTAAATTTTCATAATACGAGCTTTGCTTAACACCAGTATTGAACTGCATTAATAAAGTATATGAATGTTATTTCGCAATAACAAGTTCATACTTATATTGAATATCAATATGATATTGATAGACAATAGTTCATGGATGCAACAGCTATAGCCTTATTCTCCTTTTGTTGTTCAAGGTTGCCCATATAAATCGATTCTTTGTTCTTACTTTGCCCCTGGTTTATCTTTATGGTTTTGTGGACATTTCGGCGTTCTCTTCTACTTTTATTTGTACAACTGGGCGAATGTTGCTGCTGGGGGACAGTTTTGTCTCCGAGGATAATCTACACCCAGTATGATTTACAATTTATGCATAAATAGAGAAAACACTTTATTGTTACCGACCAAGTTTGCACAATTTATTGGAAGTACCCCACGGATTGTCCTCAAGGACATTTAACTTTATGAGTTTGTCTAAAGCTCTGATAGGGGATGTATCTTTTTATAAAAATTCTGACTCGTTTGTATGTTTTAAACTTTGCAAAATCGATCTAATCGATTTGTTTGACGTTTCCGATACGTGAATGTGTTCGTATAATGCACAATGCAGAACTAAAAACCATAAGACATGCAGGATAAGAGGCACGGTAGTCTAGTGGTAGGAGGTCGGGCTCGTGACCGAAGGGTTGCGGGTTCGAGTCACGTCACGTCACGGCACTGTATTGTATCTTTGAACAATATACTTTACTCTGCTAGTTCCAGTCTACTCAGCTGTAAATGAGTATATGTGGTTGGGCAGTGCTAGAATGGTTGAATGCTAGCTGTGAGCTCCGAAATTGCAGCACCGGCTGTATGACTACGGATAATAATTTGTGAACCGCTATGAGACGACCTACAAACTAGGTTGTGTTAAAGCGGTATATAAGAACCTCGAATTTTTAGTATAATAACAGATATTCACTCATTAAAAATGATTATTCTACCAGAAGCACCGAGTCCCTAAATAGTGAAACCACCAACGTTTCCTGTAGTATTGAGTGTGTTCTATCGGGTTTGATATTTGTTTGTGAAACAAAAGGACAATTACGATATCTAGTGAAGAGTCGTCGTTTGGCAGTGAACCGCGGGAAAATCAATGTTTTTATATAATTTTCTCAAAAGAAACAATTGTGGCCATTAGGGTTACGGCAAACATCGGGGACTAGAAAATACGCAAACATAATGTCCGTATTATAGAGAAGTTTATCAACCCACTAAAAATGATACGTCTATACTTATCACAATGCTACTGTGCACGATCCCGGATGTTATCGCTACCTGGTCACCCTTTCTGACATTTCAGTGTCCAGTCACTCCCGAGTAATATACCTATCTTTCGCGTTACATTTTGTTATACATTTTAGTTATTAATGTACTAGTATCCAAAATATGTTATACCATCCTGCTACATAAACCGTCTGTTTTGTAAAGTGCTGGAAGAGCGAAATTCAGCTTTCTTTTTACATATAGTTAACGTATCAATGCAATCATTAAAACTATTACAATAAAATTATACCTCGTTGAAATTACTGAATCTATTTGTGTTAATACTGCTAAACGAACCTATCATTCCACTCCTTTAAATTTTCAGAAAAGTCCATTCAATATTAGACCATCGAACCTTTGGGTCTTAATGTTGTCATTGATATAAATGTACTGCTCTTCGGTAAAGATTTTTTTAAAAAAAAAATCGTACTTTATCTCCGGACCGTAAAACTGGGCAATTTTGGAAAGGGCATTTTACAAGCCTTCTGATCAACAATCGGTTCGTAAATGCTTCGGGTACATTACGTTGAAATGTGATTCTTTTTGGTAAGACCGAACAAAGAAGGACCGTATTCTCTTGCGTGTTTCGAATATTCTACATACTAGAGAACTCGGATTGTTTTTGTATCACCTCAATTCAAAACGCTTCCGAAAATGCTGATTAAGCACGCTCCGCATGTACAACGAATTTCAGCATTAGATCACCGAAGCTTTAGGTCTAATTGTTTTTGTCGCACTGATTTAAAAAAAAAACCACTTTGATATTTCAATTTGTACTAAAGCAAAATTGATTGCGATATATTTTTTCCTCTGTCTAGTATATTTTGGGTCTTCATACAGGGTCTTCATAATTAAATAGTAAGATTAAATTTTAAGATATCAATCAAATAAAGAATTTAAACTGATGTCATGTTTGTGCGTTTTACAAGTTTCAATATAACTAATTAAGGTGGCCATATCTACCTATTCTTGTCAGCGGGAAAATGTCGTCTGTCGCCTAGACGTTTTTCTCCAAAATATTATTTTACATCTCCTTTTTGAAAGGAAAATTAGCATATGTGCATGTATTACGCTGTGCTTTATCGCTGTTTAAGCCATACTATAAAAACGTATGTTTATAATATGTAATATCCTACAGGGAAACTTAATTGAATGTGCTTCAATGTGATCTTCTATGCTTCGTTTTCATATCTGTAACAGTGCGAAAGATACCAGTTTAAAAAATATGGTAGAATCCAATGACCAACAAGAATACACGTGTATCTATAAGAACCAGTTACTGTATATTTGATGGCATTTCTCAATTAGCATTTATGAATACTAGTTAAACATTTCTTTACAAAATAGACAACATGATTTTATTATATATACAACTTAGATAAAAAAAAACCGACCATGCGTCATGGTCAGTTGCAAGAAAAAATAGTTTTTAATACAAAACTAGACAGCATGTGCAACACGTTAAATCTTTTGAAAATAGTCAGCTATGCATTAATAACTATAATTTCATAGATCAACTGAAGTAATAACCATAAAGAATACAAATACCACTTAGCAATGGTGGTTGATGTTGTATCTCTCCTTGACAAGCATTCTGACAAGAAAAAATAACGGATTGCCAATGTCAATTAACCATGTTTTTACACACTACGTGACACAGCAGACTGCCTTAAATTTGACGCCGTTGGGTCGGAATTTCACGATGATTTAGCGTGATTTCCAGGTAGATAAACTATGTAAGACTTTTCGGGCTCAAGGGACAAACCAGTCCACAGCGAAACCACGTGCTGCCGTGAGGATATGGTGATGTCTTATATTTTCATCCTTATTTTCGGGAAGCAAGAGAATCGAACCAGAGGTTTCCGCCTTTATTTATTCAGGTTATCTATCTGGACACAAATTGCCTCATCTGTTGCAATGTGACGCTGGATACCAACATGAAGATCGTTCGTTCAGAAACAGGCCACTGATGGCATAATTTTCTTCTTTATGTATGAATTCCTGAGTGTCCAAAGAACCTAAAGGACGCGAAGAGTTGCAAGGGATGGGACTGTTGTTGCTCAGAATGACGAGTGACAATTTTAAGGATCTGCTCTATATCCACCAAACCTGGTCGAAAAGAGAAGAACAGTTTTGGAGGTGATTGTACCAGGGAAAAAGTCTGGAAGCTTTTCATTTTTTCTGTTCTTAAAATGGTGTGGATGATAAGACCAAAAGGAGGTCACAGGATTCGAGGTAGCAGTATTCAAAAAGCCGATTTCCGTGGTAAAGGCTTCATAAAGACGGATTCAGGTGGTAATGCTCCTTTCTGGCAGGGTGGCATTTGAGAGTTTGTGTATGGTGGAGGCAACCCTGCTTCAGCGACTGTTACAGTGTTAGGTATATTGGAATGTAGTCTGACATTTACATTAATGTCCCCTCTGTGTTGGTTCCCCGTTGGTGAAGTTGTTCTAATGATAAAAGAAAGAAAAAATTGAGTTAAGTGTATACATATGTATAACTTGGTGCTCGATGAAAGTATCTAAAATGTACGTATTTAAGTGATGCATTCTTGCTTAGAGACACTTCTGTCATCTTATTAGAAGATTGCTAACGCATCCCTGTCCACTTCAGGCAACCCACTAGACAATCGGAGTTTTTCTCAAAAAAGATTTATAGAACCTATTGTATGTTTGTAAAATGTTTCTTATTCATAATGACAGTTTTTGGCAGTGGCACACGTAACATTTCTGATGTTAGACACAAATTGAATAAATATAGATTTTTCATTGCCCATACGAAAGCAAATGAATTGGAAGCAAATATACTGTTTTGTGATCACATGGTTTTATATTTATAATTATTTTGCACATGTAATACCTGACGGGTTTTCGTTTTCTGTAGATAAATAATCCACCTGCTAAGACGGCACTTATGATTAGCAACGTGGCAAGCACACCAATCATTATAATGGATACCAGTGTCAAACCTTCAACAGAATAAAAATAATGTTGTTGTAAAGTAATGTGCATATCAGTTTTTAAAGGAAAACGAAGCTTCAACAACGAACGAACATTAATATATTTTATAAAAGTCAAAGTCGATATTTAATACAGCACAGTGAAAAATCACATATCACCCCGTAAAACAACCGCTGACACATACACTTGTCCCTTTCTCTTTTAAACAAATATCAATTACAAGTATATTTTTGTCCTTTAGTTTACCTTCTGATTGTTTCACATTCGGAGGAAACTTCCGCTTTATTGACGTTTTTGTTGTAGTTGTTGGCGTGGTTGTCGCAGTTGATAGTGATGGCGTTGTTTTTGGCGTGGTAGTTGTAGTGGTGTGCGTTGTTGCAGTTGTGGTAGTCGTGGGCGTAGTGGTGGTTGTTGTGGGCATTGTAGTTGTAGGCGTTGTCGTTGTTGTAGTTGTGGGCGTAGTGGTGGTAGTTGTTGGCGTTGTGGTAGTTGAAGTTGCAGTCGTTGTTGTAGTGATTGTTGATGTGGCAGATGAAGTTGAAAGTGAAGTTGTTCCTGTCGTTGTTTCAAGGTTTACTAAGAAGAAGAAACATACATCGCAATTGTAAAACAGTGTATATGCAATTAATAAAACAAAGCAAAAGAAAAAACAATAGTTAATTGAGGATATTTTCTAGAATTAGAATCTTTTAGGAAATATAGCTCATGCTCTATAGATATACACACTGTATCAAGTCATATCTTTGAAACGATGACAATTTTTGACTCGTGCCTAGGCCTCGGACTCAAGATCTCTACCCAATCGCCCAGCCGAGAAATATTCACAGCTCTGCAAATTACATCATTAATCGACAGAGCCGGGGGTATGTTTCATTTAGTTGGTTTGGTGCCAGAGAGCGTGAGTTCGAGGCAAAACTGTAATGAACAAAGTTGCGGATATTTTTCAGATAGTTGATTTGGTGCCAGAGAGTGTGAGTTCGAGGCGATGGTGTAAGAAACAGAGTTGCATTTTTTTTGTTTTTTTTTGAACATTTGGTTTCAGAAGTTTTGAGTTCATGGCGATAGCGTGATGACTAGTGCTGCTGATATTTTTTCAGTTAACTGATTCGGTGCCAGAGGGTGTGAGTTCGAGGTGAGGGTGTAATTTACAACGCTGCAGATATTTTTCAGCTACATATGTAGTTTGCAGTTTAATAATGATTTCTTTCGGCTCATGAAAAAGGATATTACACAAGAACGATAAGTACGTTTACAAATCATTTGAAACATTTTCAGAACGTTTGAGAAGTTTTGTAATGCAAATTGTTAAACGGGTCATGAAAACAATTTTGATTTATAAATACTCCTGTCTCTTTAAACAACTTTGATTTATAAATATTTCTGTTTCTTTACAATCAAATAAACAATAACATAATTCGGAATGGTACATGATAACTTGATAACCCTGTCTATGGAATTGTTGTAAATCCTACCAACCACATCTTCTTTTATTTAATTAACTCAAGTCTAACACTTACCTGAACAGTTCTCCTCTAGTAACATCCCAACGAACTCAGTCGTAAAGCCAGTCGGACATTGTTTACACAACGCCTGTCCAGACTCATTCTGGTATGTACCTACTTCACATAACACACACCACGCTCCATCTTGTCTTGTTCCGGTCGGACATTCCACTTAAAGGGAAAACATGTATATCACTATCATAGACTAAGTTATATTTCCTGAATTGATTGGGATAATTCAAAAACAGTTGAGAGGGAACAACATACAAAAACCAGACAAAACAAAGTAGCAATTTACATCAGGAAAATTCAAAACATGAACAGAGATGAGGGAGTAAACTAGCCTAGTCAATTGTACATTGTTTGTGCTTAAAGTAAAACTTTGATATAACATATTTCCATGTTGATGAATCTTTTTGAAGAAAACATATATGCTGAGTATTCTACCAAAGGTTTATATACCTGCTGTTTGAAATGACATACAAACTAGACATTTGTTTCAACTACGTGATATTAAGAGTAACTGACGCAAAAACGTCACAACAAATACCTTTGTAACTTGTATATAGCGTGTTGTAGTATAAATCAATTACAAATATAAACGCCTTTTCATCCACCAAGTAAACATGACTGCCACAGGGACGAATTCCTAATGTAGGACACGCCCATTGCTGCGAAGCCTTTATATTTACAAAGTGATTATGAACAGTGTTAATCTTATTTATTGTACTCTTCCAACTGATAATTTTACGAAACAACTGCATGGGAATACAAATAAAAGTGATAAATATTTATTATGTTGTTACCAAAAACTTAAAAGTGGAAGTTACAGCCACGAGCAATCAATAGGAGGAGTAACTTAATGTGAGAACTGACTAATACAGGAAACATACCACATCCTCCATCATCGTCAATGCTTCCGTTGTCACAGGTCGTCTGGCTCTCAATCATAAAGGTATCAGGGTCAATGGTATACGTATTGCCGTTTATGACGACATTGAAGAAAGCCTCGGATGTGCTGTTGATTTGGTCTGCTGTGTCATCCGATTCACTCAGCACATTTAGATAGGCCTGCAGTTCTGCACTTACTAGAGCAACAAAAGCACATATTGAAACATTGATATGTAGAATTACGTGAATGTATTTTGTTAAATTGTTGTAATTTATCAACATCATCAGAAATTACGGGTATGCGTAACCTTGCTCAATATTTATTTGAAATTATTCCTAGTTTGCATTATTTTTCTTTAATATTGGCCTCTCTTGCATATGCAAATCACTAATGTAAATTTTCTGTCATTACAAAATAGGAATGAAGTTTTTCAGAAATATTTTCACAGAACGATTTTTGCGACGCAACGACTTTTCACCTTTCAAATTGTTTCAATATATTTTTCTAAAACCTGAAATTGTGTTTGCAGTTTGTATTGTTAAAGCGTTTTTACTTTGTTATGTTTGAATGAAATAGTTGCAAGCGAATCTTGAATATTGCCCAGATTTTAAATCAATTATTTAACAATTAATTTTGCCTTCTCCTCTTTGCGTCCAAAGGAAGGTAAGCTGTTCATATCAAGTTTACCAAAAATAGTGTTTACTCATTTCAAAGGATAAACTTCAACTATCTGTAGAAAAGATAACATTTATCCCTTGAATACTGCCATGATTTTAAATAAGACGAATTTATTGTTTTTACTAATTTACAGAAGTCATTGTTATTACCAGAAAAAATACCCATTTACCCCACTTTCTTTAACAATATTCAGATCTACTGGTGAAACATTATATATTGCAAACATGCAGTTACAAAAGAACTCACTGATATTTGACTCAAGGAATGCTGTCAAGTTGAGATCTCCGATGTTTTCCAGATTGAACACGAATGACATGTCAACTGTCGTTCCAGTCGTGCGCTTGCGTCGCCTTTTACCACAAGTGTCCGTAGTCACGGTGACGTCACATGTACTGTCGAGCATGCATTGTGCATTCCCTGCAGACGATTGCAGAGCTGTATCTGTTGAACTGCCGCACGATAGTGTATCCGTGTATGTCGCCGATGTTCTAATCGTAATGCTTCTACCGCGCCTAATGGCTGCATGAAAACAAAACAAAATAGAAGGCTTATTGTATTTCCATTTATGTATTATGAAATTTGTGATTCATTAGTGCTTACTTTTTCAATAGATAGTGGTGTTGTTTTCGTATTACTCTTGATTTTATGAAACTTGCTTTTTTCTAGACTCGAAACTCGACGAAGAAAGTGGGTCGCGCGCAGACGATAGTGACATGATTACCTTTTTGACGCCATTTATGTATATTTATGTACTATGGGAAGCCAAAAGCAAGTTCCTTTAAATCCCTATCTCCCACAAATCTCCTGGTCAAATTACTTTTAGTAGTTTTTGAGAAGAGATTTTCCAAAGGAAGTTGATCAATGACAGCCATTTAAATTGGCTAGTTTAAATGAATACGGTCTCGTCTGACCATCTTAACTACCATGTCGTCATAAATTGACTTTAAAATAATCAGCAATACGAACTTACATCCACAGCTCGGTAGTTGCCTACTATTCCATTCGTGTGACGTGTTTTGGCCGCATTCATAATATTCTAAAGGCGGGGTTGAAGATGTAAAACCATAACCTGTTTCACAAGTTAGATTACACCTAGTGTAGTCCCCTTCCGTCTCACAGTGATCTGTAATGGTTTTCCTTGCACCCAACAGCAAGAGTTCAATTGGTTTACACGCTGTTTGAAATGCATAAACCACATTTTAATGCATAAACCACATTTTAATGCAGAAACCACATTTTAATGCAGAAACCACATTTTCATGGCGTGTGTAGTTATCGTCATTGACTACCAATCTCAATAAACTGGTATCTTTATGTACAGTTCTGAATCTACAAACAAAAGCTTTTTGCAATGTTAAACAGGTTTCCAGATACCCGACTTAAATTCAGTGAAAGTAGATAACAATAAAATGAAGAAATGGCTAACTCTCTTCAATAAACTCATTCATCATTGCGCATATTTTTACATTGTTACGCTGCAAATGACAAAATATTCACGCCAGTTAGAACTAGAGAAAATATTTGAAATCGCATCACGAAAACCTACCGCATTTTTTTTTTATCAAGTACATCAATAACAAATACGTAGTAGTTAAAATTGTAATATGGATCATCTCTTGACTTGAAACTCAAAGATAAATACTATTTTAGAGATAAAAAGCATTTTGAAATTGACATTAGCGTTAACGACATTTAATTAAATCTGGTTTTAAACAAAAAGACCCAGACATCCACGTAAAATAGCACAAATATATAATCTTGCCAATTAAATTATAACATAACCCACATGGACATTGTTCCAGATTGCATGCTTGCACTTCCTGGTCACTTCCACTGCACTCGTTTCCATCTGTTCCCGGCGGAGGATCGGAGCAGGTACGATTTCTATTTTGTTGCCCCGCACTGCCACTGACACTGCAAGTAACAGTGCACCGGTTCCAGTCCGACCATTTTGCCCATTGTCCATGAACTGTTTGATTAACCATGTAGCAATAAATTAACTACATATAACGAAACTAGAATAGAAAGTAAATTCCCTTCACCTCCTAGACATGCATTCATGTGCTACTATCAGACATATATATGATAAGAATAAATAATAGATTATATTGCATTCACTTCTGTTAAATGTTTTTTTATAATACATTTCTGTTGAGGTTGCATCACACAAGCAAGGATATGACTGTTTACAAATCGTTTTGTCATTTCTATCTATAAGAAAAGTCATTACAAGGGCCACATAGTCATTAGTCAGGGCAAAATCAAACTGCAAAACCAATAAAGGAAATATAACAACAGGGACATATAAAATAATAAGTATAAAAAACAAAACACCGGTAGTAAAACCAAGCACTTTAAAGGGTAAAATCCAACCTTCATGTTCTTACCTATATTTTCTTCACAAAGTTCCCCTCTGAAGTCGCCGACACACTGACATGTATAGTTCCAGGCTTGACTCTGACAGATGGCTGAGTTTTTACAAGTATTATTTAGGCAGAAGTCGGGCGCGGTGTCACAGTTGACGCCGGTGTAACCGCCCATACAAATACACTTGTAGGTGTTCAGCAGATTCTCACAATCGTGTACTCCACATGGGAGAGCGGCGCACTCATCAACAACTGAAAAACATATAAAATCATTTTTATCAGTAGAGATTACTTAGAAACTGTCAATAAAAACGTTGAAAACATTATTGTATATACTCTGAATGAGATTAAATTAGCACACATACTATATATATAACAAATCGTTATATCGAGTGGTCGATGAATAAAATGAACAAGGGATGTTATTCAAACACAAGCATATGAACAGATCAATATTTTTATCAGTGTTAAAACCTACCATCACATTTGGAAGGAGTATCCAAGATAACTCCATCCTGGTTCTTGAAATTATCCATGCTATAGATAGCCCCAGTGGCGTCTGGAGTACAAGTCTGCATATCGTTCTTTATCTGCGCATCAGATCTTTTCGTGTCCATCAACCGAAACCCTGACAGTCTGCAGTCTGCAACAGTAAATTATCGTGTTTTCTCATGTGTGCAGATTTTTGCAGTCTTTAACAACAGGGATTATCATATTTTAAACCTCAAACTCGCATGTATTTGCTTAAAGTAAGTGCTTGTAGAGTTTGATATATATATATATATATATATATATAAATGAACAAACACTAAACACACTATTTAGAATACTATGTTAAAGATTGGATACTGGAAGCTCCTTTTTTGGTAATTTCATTTGCTTATAACACTGTTTCATTACTTGATGCATTCAACAAAATGCATGGCTAGACATTTAAGCGGGATGGTTTGCTCCTCCTCTTTTACCGACGCATCACTGGTCAATAAAAAAAATAATACTTTAATTGCCGTTTGGCTAGCTTTCCTTAAATGTGTATTTATGATCAAAGACAAAAAATATGAAGGGGCCAATACCTGCTTTTATTTACAGAAATGTTTACATACCGGCGATATAACCGTTGTTCGACGTTATTTCGACACGAGTGCCAGCCGTTGCTATATTTCCTGTTACAGCGACAGATGCATTATTTTCGCCATTTATCAGCAACTTTGCCTGTCCGGTCGTCTCTTCCCATGTGATTGTGACGTGCTTCCAGTTATCCAATGTGATTGTATACGCCGTCCTTGAATATAGAGAAATTAACCAGCAACATTATAAACGAGGTTTGCAAAAAAAAATACCCCATAAAATACTATGTTTATCAACTAGCTTATGGTTGCCAATGCCAAAACTGCAGTGTCACCTAGTTTCATTTGTCGGATTTTGAGATTCCTTGATTATTACAATTGATACACAATATTGGACTAGATACAATAATAGTTATTAACAGAGTTATTTCTATATTTGATCTTAATAATGATTTCGGAATTTGCTTTTTCAAATTCAGGTTTATTGAAGCAAATTACAAATTGTGAACACCAGGAAGATCTCACCATCCTAATATTTTACCTGTATGTTCAACGCAGTGATTAACACACGTACATATTTCTCGACTGCAAAACCTTTACACATCAGGAGGCAAACTCCATTACAACAAATTGCACATTATCTCTCTCCAAATTGTACGTGACAAATCTTAGTGCATTGCGTTAGAGAAGGTACATTTTTTTAACTGCAGTATTGATATTGAAATGGTATTTTCTTAAAAAAATAAGGGGAAGTTTTTGAAATCAGTTAAGTGACTATTTGAAAGATGAAATAATAAAAATAAAAAGCATAAATCAGTGCAAATCACTTTTAGTCGCATAAAAAAATGAAATTTGAAAATATATGATGACAAATCGTTAGAATCTATTCAATTACCCAAACATTTCCAGTGTCTGCGAATCGGTTATCTTCAGTACTTCCGCAGTTGCTATACTGTTTACAAGGTGGATTGTAGGTGTAATGACACTCCCGGCCGGACATTTTAGCCAAAACATCAACGAGAATGCATTCAGCGATGCAGTAAAGCTAGGAAATGCAATATTTGTTCCAGGCGAACCAAAGATAACATCAAAAGCTTCAAAATGGAAAAAGAACGACAGTCCAGTTATCAGATACCATGATATGCAAATAAAATAAAAACTTATTTAGTTTTCCATTTAGAAGATAGCATATTGGTAAAATATAGGAAATAGTTTGATATATATTTTACCACTCATATTTTATTAGTCTGTATGTTCCATTTGTGAATTATAAAACATGTATACTCAGTAGGTTTTAATTATTTTTATATTTCGTTCAGTTTACCGCGTTGAGCAATTCAATAGGGCTGTTTACCTATGCACGCAGAGGAAGATTCTGCTCCTCGGCTGACGGTTGTCTTAGCGACGTCACAGCTGGTACATGCGGTTCTGTGTTTGGCGGACTGGTATGTGCCAATGGCACATTTAGTACACGGAATAACACCCTTGTTAGAGTACGTACCAGCTCCACAAACCTCTGGAAATACCATACAATGTTACGTATACTCACTATCTAATAATAATTCAATATTGGCACACTTGCAAAACAACAATATGATATGCGTAAACCTTTTTTACTTGTTGACACATCAGCTACAATGTAGCTGAAGAATAGATGTCACAGAATGATAAAGTGTTGTCTCTCCTTGGTCATTATCTACATGTTTACCTATGAACAAACCTTTGAATACGGTTGTGCACCTGTTATCCACTTCACACATGATTTATTATAATGTCGCCTACAAACTTTTGTTTGTCAGGTATTACTTAAATTCAATAATGGCCCTCGTTCTGGGTTCTACAATGCAGGGAAAAGATCAAGTATTTATGTTTTGACTCCGATAAACACAATTGGATTTGAAATCCTGATAGAATTATTGTTCATTGATTGTAAATATTTTATTTATAACATTTTCAAGAGATGTTAGTATGCAATATATATATATATCGTAAACGGATCAACAACAACGAGACAGTGATTATTTATAAACCAAATCCGACTCAAATTCGCCAATTTCGATAATATAGTTCTAGGTTATACGGTTTCTAAACAGGTTGCCGCTTCGGGTTTTAATAAAATCATTATCTGAACAAATGAATACATGTTTGTAGAATAATTGTGTTTATATTTTGGATTAAAAGTATGGACGGTTCCCAATTCGTATTCAGAGGTATGACTATGAAACATCAACTGTCAGATAATTTCCTAGTGAAAGCAACCATATATCAAACGTGAACATATGAGAAAGAATGTCGCTATATGAAATCTTGTTTCACGACCTCAGAAAATTGATTTTTATATGATGAAAACCGTAGCTCTTTGGTCAGAGAGGTACCATTTCAAAATAGTAATATCGATCGGTCTTTTGAGGCCGGGTTCTCACGGGTAAATATGTACATATGACTTGATATGAAAACAGCACAACACACAGCAGGGAAACATTTAACAATGTTTAATTCATTTCTTGCTTAAAATAATTCGTTATAAAATAACGTATCATCCTAATGAATTTCTTTTCATTTATGTTAAACACTTAAAAATAATCAATGATAAAGTTGTCCTGTGCGACGTTAATATACAATGTTATGACGAACTGGTGACTTTAAGAAGAACCACTTACGGAAACAGTCCCCTATTTTCTTCCGTCCAGTGTCTTTAGTAGACATATCTGTTGGACATGCTTTACACGTAGTCTGGTGACTCTCGTCCTGGTATGTTCCTATTGGACATACTGTACAATCGCCCACCACCGAGTCAAAGTATTTCCCTGTGGCGCATCCCTCTATTGCAATAAAACAAAAGTTAAAATACATTATTGTCATTGTTTTGTAAAATTTTATTTTATTTTAGAAAATGTTGTCAGAGGGTGGTATGTGGGATAATGCATTTCAAAATCAGAAGATGTTCTTTATAAAATAATTTTGTATGATCCTCAAAATATCGGAGTGATATTTTTCTTTACTACGACAAATATCACGTTATGCATTAAACTTCAAATTAGTATTAAGTACTATATTTTGTTTTATCTGTTATAGAATTTATCGTTTGTTCTGTGTTTTGTTTACAATTATATTTCATGGAAATTATCAGCAAATACGAAAAAAATACCCTAGGTTAAACATAGAGCTAGCAGGGCATGGTTCTGAATTATATGTAGTATATTCCTGATTCCTGCAGTTGATAAATTATATACCCCGACAACATATCTGTTGCGCATGAATGCGTAAATAAATGATTTTAAATAGTTTCCAATTGAAAACCATGTACGGGTACAGCAAAAATATTCCGATATTATCAACGAGTGCTGGACACAAGAAAAAATATACGGTTTTCAACGTGGACGTTTTATTACATTATTACAAAAATGAAAACGTTTATCCATCAACAAAGTGAGGAAATTCGTGGCATAATCGTTGTCGCCATTAAGCCTGCTCAACGAAATTCTTCCGTTCTCTACTTATATATGGTACGATTTGTTTACGGTTTCACCAATAATGTAATTTTATTAGTAACTTATTTCGCTCTATCTGCAGCTGAATAGAAAAAACACGTGACTTTCAATGCAGTGAATAGGGAAAACAATTCTGATTGGTCAATAAAAAAGGAAAAGTGCGATTTCGGACCTTTTTAAATCACATACCAACATCAATTTTTTATGTATGTATATTTGTTATTAAATCGAGATATTTTTTATATTTATATTTATGGTGAAAATGTAACATATATGCTACTTACCACAGTTAACGCCACCCCCGACATACGATGGACTTTCGCCTGTCGGACACGTGATCATCGGATAAGGATCGGTGACGATGTCAGGTGAGGGAGTTAGTCCTCCATACTCAAATAGACCTCCTGATTTTTTTGCTTCTTCTTCTAAAGTCGCCATTACATCATATAATAGATTGTCATTGGCGGTAAGATCATCATCTGATGTACCGTTTTGCCATGGAAAGGTTACGCTAAAATCAATTTTGATGACAAAGGAGCTACGTCGATATCTAGAATGTTCAAATGATTTTACTTGCAGCACCCCACGGAGGCTTTTCTTTTTCCTTCCCGATAATGCACCACAGGTTACCTCGACATTATCTACGGAACAGCCTGGTAGTAGAAGTTGTAGAGGTTGTTTCACTGACATTGACTACATAATATTGACTACATAGCATTTTCATAACTACATGTACATCACATAACGTCGATACCAAATTATGTATAATAGTACTCTGCTACTGTATATTTTATTTCACTGTTATAATCACCAAATATTTGAAAAAATCATAAAATAAAATAACTAAAAACAAATGAAAAATATCCTAACGAGTTCGGATGAAAAATGAAATCAATTACAATACTTATATCTGCAAAATAGATGATATGTTTGAACAATGAACAATCTCAAACCAGACATACCAGATGAGGAACAAACACTATTCCATCCATCAGAGATCAAATCTTCCAGGACTGTAATAAAATTGGCTCTTAAGCCTTCCTGGACAGCGGGGTCGTTGCAATCACCGACAAAGTAGTGCATCTCACCACTGATAATATTTGAGTCTGGAACTTTTCGTCCTAAAACCATTCATTATATACCATAGTGATATTGATGGAAACGTCATATCAAATATTGTTTTGAATGACAGATGTAAAAGTTTAGAAAAAATAAATTTATCGTCAAGTTTTTATTAGTATTTATTAGAATTATTCAGAATTTATTAAACAAATCGTTATAAGTAACTTCCGATTACATTTGTTTTAAATAAAGAAATATGTCTGTAATAAATAGGATTGGTCTGTTGAAAGAGGGTAAATAGATGAACTAGTTCTCTTTATTTCGCTGATTTATCTACCTGTACAATCGTCTACCGCAGGGGGATCCCAGAGCTGATCAGTAGTACAAATAAATAGTTGTCCAGCCACCGTACCTCGAGGATACCCGGAGTTAGCATTACATGATTGTCGACAGTAGTAGTTAGCAGCCGTTGTGCATACGAGGGCGCCATCAATTGGTGGAGTGAGAACAGGGCATTTATCTAAAGTTAAATAAATACGACATCGTTTTTAAACTGACATATACGGAAAAGGGATGGGAATATCAGTGTCCAATTGTAAAAAAGTCGAGTAGCCAAATAAAACGCGTCAACACAGAAGGACAATCTATCAATCGTATGCATTGTATTGCGCATACCTTTTTGTACATGAATTTGAAAGTCTAAAAACCAATACGTAGAAATAAGGTCTCAATCTCACTATCGCTTTGGTAATAATAACAATGGTTGATAAATTGATATCCTACCATCACAATGGTTAATACGGTATTATTTCTCGATATCAATAGTTAATGCAGTGATTATATCAATATGGTCGATATATCTTACCACTACAATGGTAAATATGACATTCATTTTTCAATTACAATAGTGAATATAAAATAATTATCGAACTAAAAAAGTGGTAAATATTGTAACAATCGCAACATCACAACGGCAAATAAAGTTAAGGTATTACCATCACATTCAGGTTGAGCTCCTCCGCCCCAGTCCCATGATGCTTTGGTAGTGGTTCCCTCACGTTCACATGTAAGTGTCGTATTTCCTATAATGGTATAATTCCGGACACAAGACAAACTGCACTCGATTCCGAATGTGTACTCTGATCCAGGACAATCTACCTGTAGAAGTTCATCGTCAAATAACCCGTTTGGAGGATCACACTCCAGTTCTGTAAAAAAAAAAAAAAAGGCAACGTTATGAAATAAGTGGCATTATATTTTGGATACATCTACGTTTAGAAAAAAAAGCTTCTGGTAATGACCAATCTATCAGTAAACATGGGGGAAAAGCACAGTCTCTACAAACACGCAAGAGGAAAACCCCAGTTTGACACACTTCGTCAGGTGTCAGAGAAAGGGTAGCTTTTCAAAATCTAACGTGGTATGTCCCATGACGCCCTCAGTTAAATAAAATAAATCATAAACGATCTAAGATAAAGTGAACTGGTATATGCAATAGAACTGGCAAGTGTTGCAGTGGTACTAATTTGTTTAGGCATTTTGTATCCAGATATTATTTTAGACTAGCAATAAGTTCTATGCTAATGAACACTTTTCCTATTAAATATACAATACTAATTAAAAATTATTATGTTAAATAATGTTCGTTTCATAAATTCTATATTCGTATTCACAATATTACTTTGGTTTGGTTGGTTTGTGTTTTACGTCCTAATAACTGCTATGGTCTGTGAGGGAGTGCCAGGTTTTGGTGGTGGAGGAAAGCCCGGAAAAAAACTACCGCCCTACGGCCAGTACCTGGCGACTGCCCCACGTAGGTCTCGAACCCGCGACCCAGTGGCGGAGGGCTAGTGACTTGGCCCCCGCGACCCTTTTATAAATAACCAAGATCTACAAAAATATATACATACGTTCAACAACAACTGTGAAGGAGCACGTGGTAGGAGACTGATTGCCACTAGCGTCACGGGCCACATAGCTGATCAAATGGGATCCCACAGAAAACTCACTCCCTGGGGCCGCACCTAACGTCCTCACTATGGTGACATCGCCAGAGTTATCGGTGGCATTCAACGAAGACCATGTGACGGAAGCGGAATTCTGACCTTTGTCTGCATAGGATTTTATTGGACTTGGTGGACATTCGGTGAAGTAAGGGGCTCGGAAATCTGGGAAAAAATATATATATAATGACAGCATACTTATGATTTATTTTTCGCTACTCAAATACGTTTTAAACGTGTTACAGTCTTTGAATAAACGTAACAAATGAAAAAACATTAAGAGCAAAAAACAGGCAAATCGCTTCAGGTAAATGTATATCAATATAATATACTATATGAATTCTTTGGATATCTCTTAACAATTACTTACCATAACATGGCTGTAGACTGCCGGACCATGATCCGTCGTAACGACAAAGTATAAATGTCCCTACAGAGCCATACCCATTTTGGACCGGACATGATGTCATGCATACACTTTTGTAATTATTGCCATCTATACAGGTTGCCTGCCCGTTCGCGGGAATAGGTAGATCGGGACATGTGATTTCTACCAATACAAAAGTCAGCAACATCAATATTAAAAGTAAATATCCAAGTAAACAAATCCATATTGCACTTTTGATCATATGGTAATGGTGAAAGAAAATCTAAAGTATCCCAATGACAAAATATGTTCGAAAACCAATGCTTGAATATACAACTCGCATTAAAGCAAGCGATTATTCGTAATTGAAAATAAAACAATAGCAATTTTAAATACACCTACTGGAACAAACTGCCGGTATTCCATCAAACGTTCCGTCACTCTGACATGTTCGTAGTGTGCTGCCTGCTAATGAATATCCATCGTCGCAGGAAAATGAGCAAGTACTTCCGAGCAGTGGGTCGTACCAATCAGGTTCGCAAGAAATTTCCCCATTAGTAGGTCTCGGGGGCATGCGTGTGCACCGTCGCACTATGTTTTTGTTATACAGAGGTCCAAATTATGTCATTGATGATGATTTTTAAACATAAATTAAATGTGTTTTCTTCAAATAGATTGTCATTTCTATTTAACAGGTGGATCGGTGAACATACAAAGTGCTTCAAGATGAAATTATAATAATACAGCACTTATCTAAAATATGATTTTATAGTGATATTTCGTTAATGAATTATAGTAATAATGCAACAAATTATTTAACGCAATCCGACAAATATTCTTATTAATTGATATCCCAGTAACTGTATAACACCAATATATATATATATAATATAGCGGTAAAAATAGTGAAACGTTGATGTGACCGTAGTAAAACAAATTGCCCCAAGATGGGAAGAGTCCAAAGATGGGAAGAGTCCAAAGATGGGAAGAGTCCAAAGATGGGCGGAAGTGCTAGCGATATTTAGTCCTCGGTGTTTTATTTTATATGTATATATAAGTATACAAAACTGAACGCCAGACCTTTCTACCTTCTTGGCCTTCTTTAGTTTTATGTATTTTTAAAAAGAATAAATGTCGATATGAAGTAGAATATTATATAAAACGCCAGACTACAAAACTAACAGCTATCACCCTTTACAGGCCTCTTCAGGTTTAATACCAAAGGACAACATCGTGACTTCACAATTACGTGTCCTTTTGCAATAAACCTGAGGAACCCTGTGAAGGGTCAAAACTGCTAGTTTTGTAGTCTGGCGATGTGTCTTATTTGTTCCAAGATAGATACATGTATATATATACTAAAAACATCATCCAAACTTCATGATTACAAAATGTTTTAGCGTAAAAATTTTACACCAATAACTTGCAATATTAAATATGTGTTAATCGAATTTATTGTGGAAACACTTACCTTTAATTTCAAATTGTTCGGAACAAACGTCGGCGTTACCATAGCTGTCCTTAGCTATGTAGCCTAGGGAGTAATGCCCTTCAGTGAATAGTGATCCACTCACCCAGCCGTGTGTCTGTGTAATCCTGGCATAACGTACATACGTAGTTAGTATGGTATAAAGACAATTCATTATATTGTACATATTTTTAATATCTTCAGTGGTTGTAGGGAATGATAATTTCTTGCAAGAGACATACTTTAAAGCGAAAACAATAATTCTTACCAGTCTGCAAATACATAACAAAACTGTTTCATTTCAATAGATCCATGCCTGAAGTGATTTGTTTCCAATTTGCATGCTTATATAGATATATTTGCAAGCAAAGTAGCAAACAAAAATGCCACAAACACATAGCAAAGTTTTCGTTTATACAGTAACCTCCCCTTAATTACCGTAGCACAGTTGGGCGAAGCACTTACGACGTTGACGCGGTAGGTGAGGTCTAGGGTTCGAATCCCGACCTAGCCTCGATGAGGTTTCATTGTTATAACATTGTTATTGATTATGATGTTTATTTCACCTTTGCTTTTTTTCCAGAAAAGCCCCGCAATGCCCATAATAGGTGGTTTTCTTTATCAAAATGATTTACCCAAACTATGGTAAGCCAGAAAAAAATTGTTTCCGATGCCTTATAACAGTGTTTGGCAGTGGTACGGGGATCCTTAATGAGCATTCGTTTTTAGAGAAGGAATTACATTGTAGTATACAAAACTGCCAACTCATCAGATTATATAAGTAATTTGAAAAATATCTTTATCTCACGTTACAGGGTTGTTCTCTGGGTCAGTAGCTGTTGCAGTGCCCCATGTCACCGTTTTTACTTTTGTTCGGGAATCTGCACTATATTCACTATTGACGGTAGGACATGTGATCGTAGGGGGCCTGTTTGGTGGCGGAGGAGGAGGAGTATATCTTCTGCGACGACGACCTAGGAAAGTTTAAGGTACATGAATACTAAACAGTTTTATCAAAAAGGATGTAAATATATATGGAAATGATTGAAAAATAAACGAAAAGGAACAGCTAGAAACATTTTGAAAATCATTTTGATCTTAGGAATAGAACAAAAAATATATTTGTTCTCGTGATTATAGATTTCCTTTCAATAAAAATCATTTTGATGTAGGGAATAGAAGACAAACTTAAACATTTCCTTGTGATTATAAATCTGTTATCATTATCGTGAAACACAGTATGTATTTATTACTACAGTATAAAGCGTGAATGGAGTTCAGCTACAGAGCTTTTCTGAGTTCGTAACTATTTATTGTAATTATTGCTAATTACACATCTCCTAAATGATCTATTTAAATATATTTACATTGTGTTATGACAACATCCTCTACAAGCATTGCTTCTCCTGGGTTATATTTACAGGTTGAATACCTTATAGAATTTGTTAGCTCTGTGTACATTTGAAGATGTTTATACTTACGCCTCAGCCATCCCCTTTTCACTCTTAATTTCGGAGTTCCTGAAAAGAATTTGGAATTACTTTCAATTGTAATTCAAGCTTTTTTTTAGTAAAAGCTCTTTATTAGTGCCATTCCACTTTCTCATCAAGAATCTCGGGAAACAAAGTGTTTGGTTGGTATATTTTCCAGTTGAAAGAATAATAATTACATTGAAAATTCAACAAGAAACTGATTTTGGTGTGATTAGAAAGATGTACCACGTTCTCTGGGTTATTTACATCTGAACAGGCTTATAACAGACCATTTGATTCTGGGGGAAACCCTGGACAATGTCAATATCTTCAAGCATAAAAAACAATTACTCTTTATTATTAAATGTTAAAAAGGTTACAAAAGTTATATTGTGGACTTCATCGGTCTACATGTATCATTGAGAATGTCCTAAACTAATTGAATATCNCTTCTTAATTATGTTATTCCGTCTTTGCGTATTGCAGAGTTATCTTCTCTTGTGAGCAGGTATTGATTGTTACGTCATTGGTTTGTGAGAGTAACGTCATCAATTTTTGAGAAAATGACGTAATTTTCTCACACAAACCAATGACGTAACAATCAATACCTGCTGACAAGAGAAGATAACTCTGCAATACGCAAAGACGGAATATCAGAATTAAGAAGTCCACCCATAGGATTTTCCCGATTCGTATGACAAGAATTTGAAATACAAAGCTAGATCGAAAGGTTGATAACTAAGTACTTTGTATTCTTAAATCAGTCATATTTAATCGAACGTGCTAATTGATATTTGCGTTTCAGTATTTTGTATCTATAAAGAACAACAACTTGAGATATCCAAAGCAAAACAATAAAAATAAACAAATAACTTGTTGCTGTATCAAACGTTACAGAGCAAAGTCAATAACTAATTAATAATGGAATTACGATTATCTGCACAGAAAACCCTATATATATTGTTTATGAAACAAGAAACCTTACACTAATATGTATGGCATTAGAGCTTTCTTCCTAAAACTACTCTTTCATTAAAATCATCTTGATATTCAGATTTTGTCAATGTTATCGATATTTTGTGTCGCTAACTAATACATCAATAACAAATTACTTTAGATTTCATTTCCAACAGTAATGTACAAAATAAGCAGAATATGCTGTTCACAATAAACTAGTACATATACTGCAATGCGATATTTTGTTTCGTTAATCAGAATACGAAATATTGTGATGAGATTCTAATGAGAAGATCTAGTTATATTGAGCATGTGACACTGGAGATGGTGCTGTTAAAGACTCACCTGTTGAGTAGATCTAGATATATTGAGCAAGTGAAACTGGAGATGGTGCGGTTAAAGACTCACCAGTTCAGTAGATCTAGATATATAGAGCATGTGACACTGGAGATGGTGCGATTACAGACTCACCTGTCGAGTAGATCTAGATATATTGAGCATGTGAAACTGGAGATGGTGCGATTAAAGACTCACCTGTCGAGTAGATCTAGATATATTGAGCATGTGACACTGGAGATGGTGCGGTTAAAGACTCACCTGTTGAGAAGATCTAGATAAATTGAGCACGTGACACTGGAAATGGTATGGTTAAAAGCTCACCTGTTGAGAAGATCTAGATATACAAGTGTATTGAGCATGTGACACCTGAGATGGTGCGGTTAAAGACTCACCTGTTGAGTAGATCTAGATATATTGAGCACGTGACACTAGAAATGGTGCGGTTAAAGACTCACCTGATGAGTAGATCTAGATATATTGAGCACGTGACACTGGAGATGGTGCGATTAAAGACTCACCTGTTGAGTAGATCTAGATATATTGAGCATGTGACACTGGAGATGGTGCGGTTAAAGACTAACCTGTTGAGAAGATCTAGATATATTGAGCATGTGACACTGGAAATGGTACGGTTAAAAGCTCACCTGTTAAGAAGATCTAGATATACAAGTTATTGAGCATGTGAAACCTGAGATGGTGCGGTTAAAGACTCACCTGTTGAGTAGATCTAGATATATTGAGCACGTGACACTAGAAATGGTGCGGTTAAAGACTCACATGTTGAGTAGATCTAGATATATTGAGCACGTGACACCTAAGATGGTGCGATTAAAGACTCACCTGTTGATTAGATCTAGATATATATTGAGCACGTGACACTGGAAATGGTGCGGTAAAAGACTCACATGTTGAGTAAATCTAGATATATTGAGCATGTGACACTGGAAATGGTACGGTTAAAAGCTCACCTGTTGAGTAGATCTAGATATACAAGTGTATTGAACATGTGACACCTGAGATGGTGTGGTTAAAGACTCACATGTTGAGTAGATATATATATTGAGCACGTGACACCTGAGATGGTGCGATTCAAGACTCACATGGTGAGTAGATCTCGATATATTGAGCACGTGATACCTGAGATGGTGCGATTAAAGATTCACATGTTGAGTAGATCTAGATATATTGAGCACGTGACACCTGAGATGGTGCGATTAAAGACTCACATGTTGAGTAGATCTGGATATATTGAGCACGTGACACCTGAGATGGTGCGGTTAAAGACTCGCCTGTTGAGTAGATCTAGATATATTGAGCACGTGACACCTGAGATGGTGCGATTAAAGACTCACATGTTGAGTAGATCTGGATATATTGAGCACGTGACACCTGAGATGGTGCGATTAAAGACTCACCTGTTGAGTAGATCTAGATTTATTGAGCATATGACACCTGAGATGGTGCGATTAAAGACTCGCCTGTTGAGTAGATCTAGATATATTGAGCACATGACACCTGAGATGGTGCGGTTAAAGACTCGCCTGTTGAATAGATCTAGATATATTGAGCACGTGACACCTGATATCGTGCGATTAAAGACTCACCTGTTGAGTAGATCTAAATATATTAAGCATGTGACACCTGAGATGGTGCCATTAAAGACTCACCTGATGAGTAGATCTAGATATATTGAGCACGTGACACTGGAGATGGTGCGATTAAAGACACACCTGTTGAGTAGATCTAGATTTATTGAGCATGTGACACCTGAGATGGTGCCATTAAAGACTCACCTGATGAGTAGATCTAGATATATTGAGCACGTGACACTTGAGATGGTGCGGTTAAAGACTCGCCTGTTGAGTAGATCTAGATATATTGCGCACATGACACCTGAGATGGTGCGGTTAAAGACTCACCTGTTGAGTAGATCTAGATATATTGAGCACGTGACCTGGAGATGGTGCGATTAAAGACTCACCTGTCGAGTAGATCTAGATATATTGAGCATGTGACACCTGAGATTGTGCGATTAAATACTCACCTGTTGAGTAGATCTAGATTTATTGAGCATATGACACCTGAGATGGTGCGACTCGCCTGTTGAGTAGATCTAGATATATTGAGCACGTGACACTGGAGATGGTGCGATTAAAGACTCACCTGTCGAGTAGATCTAGATATATTGAGCATGTGACACCTGAGATTGTGCGATTAAATACTCACCTGTTGAGTAGATCTAGATTTATTGAGCATATGACACCTGAGATGGTGCGGTTAAAGACTCGCCTGTTGAATAGATCTAGATATATTGAGCACATGACACCTGAGATGGTGCGGCTAAAGACTCGCCTGTTGAATAGATCTAGATATATTGAGCACATGACACCTGAGGTGGTGCGGTTAAAGACTCGCCTGTTGAATAGATCTAGATATATTGAGCACGTGACACCTGAGATGGTGCGATTAAAGACTCACCTGTTGAGTAGATCTTGATATATTAAGCA